ACCGAAGGAGCATAGATTTTGCAAAAATGTGAAACACGTCTTAAATGATTTTTTATGTCGATCCATGCAAATGAATTTGAAGGCAAAAGGCCACCCACCAAATCTTTGACTCCCATTTCCACCAAGGAGGAATGGATTTTTGAAAAGTGTGAGACACCTCTCTAATGAATTTTAGCAATGATCTTTGGAAATAAGTTTGGGGCCGATCCGATCGTTAACAGAAAAGTTTCATACAAACGTTTTTCGCTAATTAACCACTGTTGTGGGTGGAATTTTCCAAATTGCTGAAACACGTATTCATTTCTTATCTAGAGCTATAAAAACTTCGCCAAAAAAATCTTTGAATCGCATTTCTACCGAAGATTTCGCGAAAAATGTGGAACACGTCTCAACTGATTTTCATATCGAGCTTTGAAAATGAATTTGAGCGTGAAACGTTACCCAGCAAATCTTTGACCCCCATTTCCACCAAGTAGGAATACATTTTTGGAAAAGTGTTAAACATCCCTCAAATGAATTTGAACAAAAAACTTTGAAATTGAGTTTGAGGCCAATCGGATGGTAAACAAAAAAGTTTTATAGAAACGTTTTTCGCGATTTTTCCATACTTGCGGGTGGAATTTCCCGAAACCCCGTCTTAACGTGCACCTTCATCACATAAAGTTATTACAGTGAAAATTTCAGCTTCCTAGCTCTTACGGTTTGGTCTGTGCGTTGACCACCAATCAGTCAGTCAGTCAGGACAAACAGTTTTATATATAGAGATACACACATGGCAACGTTACCCTTTCCAACGATAACGAGCTAAAATACAAGAATTTCGCAACGACGTGGCAAACCCTTTCATTATTTCATATTACTTGTCCTTCAAAAGGAAAGAAAGCCACCAAATTTTGTGAAACATTGATTTTGTAGCAGTTTTGCTGGTGCGGACAAATACACACATAGATAGTACAACGTAAATACACAAATTGTGTGGACATATACACACATAGATAGTACAACGGTAAATACACAAATTGAAAGAGCACTGGGAGTAAGCCAAAGCAATTTCCTGTAGTGCGAGGGAAAAAACAGGGATGCTGAACAAAAAGAAGGGCGACTTTGGACCAGCCGCACAAAAAACATGAGGACGAGTGTTGTCCACTCTATATATTGCTTGGATAGAGATACGACACAATCGCAATTGCCATTCCTTTTGTATGCATACATGTGTATGAATGTATGTATGTATGTTCATGTATACAGAGAATCTTGCGCTTGAAATCCCAAAACTTCAAATCTTGTCAAATTTGCATCGAACAGCCAGGCACACAAACGCATTAAAACTTCCATCCATATAGAAAAGTGTTTAAGTGTGTGGGCTTGGCCGGCGCAAACAGTTTTCATGCACACATGTCAACGTTCAGTACCCTTACCCTCAACAAGCATGGAAAATAGCAGTTTTGCACGTGAGCAGGCCAAACCTTTAAATAATTTTATACAGCTGTCGCAAAAATTAAACATTTTTAATTTTTGTGTGTTCTTAGATTTCATCGACATGCCGACGATTAATTACTTTTGCGGGAATACGACTTAGTTTCTTGTATTTTAAGCAAAGTAGGTTCCTACACTAAACAAAACAAGTAAGAGTTTCTAGTCGGGAGCTCCCGACTAGGGGATACCCTGAACCCTCTTCCTTCAACATCAAATGCATATATATATTTTATTTTAGAAGCTGTATGTCAAGTTTGGTGACTCTAGCTCTTATTATTAACCAAAATTGCCAAAAAAACAGGATATCGATATCGATTCTTATCGATGGCTTGGAAACGGAGTAAGTTATCGATTATCGGAAATAAACTCGATCTGCGCGGGAACTAGGAGCACCTACATCTAAAATTTCTCTAGCTCTTATAGGTTCTGAGATCCTTGCGTTCATACATACGGACGGACGGACAGAAAGACGGACATGGCTAGATCGACTCGGCTATTGATGCTGATCAAGAATATATATACTTTATGGGGTCGGAGATGCTTCCTTCTGCCTGTTACATACATTTGGATTTCGCACAAATACAATAACCCTTATACCCATTTTTAATGGGTTCAGGGTATGAAAATTAAAGTATAAATTATAAATATTTCATTAGCGTCATTTAACTTTTTATTAAATAAAAAAAAAATCGGATTCTTTTAATTATGCCTGACTGCACGAAGAAATGTATGATAGAGCACGTGTATGCCTTTTGCTATCACAGGCACAAAAGGCATACAATGGAAGAAAAACCCTCTGACTCGCGACAAGCGCCGTGATCTACTTGTACGCACATTCACACAGCACAAACATATGTATGTTTGTAGATCTCGGGGTTTTGTGGGAATAACAAACTGGTCGCAGGCATATATGGGGCTCACTCGTCGCATTTTATCGTGTTTTATTGTATCGTTAATGGTATAAGCGTACTTATTTCAATTAGTACTGTGGGTCTAAAAACTTGTTTTTAAAACAATTTCTTGACACCATTATAAATAGATACCTTTAAGCAATGGGCCTCAATATGTATTTATTTTTAAATAGTTCTAAGAGAAATAGTTTATCTATATATATTATATATATATATATATATATATATTGCACAATAATTTGGAAAATATGAACATTTCGCTTTCTCAAAACAATTTTTTGACATACTGTATATAACCACAGGATTTATTTAATAACTTCTGTGTTTCATAACAGATATTGATGAAATTTTCAGCAGTAGATCACATCATCATAGAGAATACTCATGTATTCTAAACAAGTAAATGGCTATAGTCGGGATTTCCGACTAGGGGATACCCTGAACCTTCTCCTACTAACACCAAATTTGTTGGGGATAATTCCGCTATAATCTTAAAGATATATCTTATTATTTTTTAGGTGCGCCTAGGCTTTGTGATCTATTGCATGCAACGCGATAATTATTGGTGTTTCTTAAGAACTGTATTTAACCTCCTGTGAATCATAATGGCCTATATACATTGTCGGTTTTTTTTTAGTTTTTTTTTTTGTAACTTAAGTTTATAATTTTATTTCAATCAAATAATACAAAGCAACGTATTTTTAAAAGAAAAAATGTAAAAAGAAGAATAAAAAACGGTACGAAAATGAACAGATGATAACATAAAAGAGACTAAGATCAAAACTACATGAACATGAAAGACTGCATGCCGTGATTGAAAATATTTATTTCAAGTTAATTAAATGAATTAAACATGAAAAGTAAATATATCCTCAGCATACCCATTATTTTTTATACAAATTTGGTTAACTGTAACGGAATGCATTTGTGTTTGTTTTTGAAACTAGTTAAATTGGCATAAGTTGCATCGACTAATGCATTGTCGTTTTAAAATGGTTAAGTTAAGATGGATGATAAAATTAAACTTAAATGTAATAATTTTAAGCTAAAATTTAGTTAACAAATTTTCATGTAACTTTGGATTATTCTCACGATATTCGAATAGTAGCTTATTTAAATAGATAAAATACATTTTCACCCACATTTTAAAATTAAATAGAAGAATATCATATTCATACATACTACATAAACCCCACGTCATAAATATTTTGACATGCCTGTCACTTTTTTCTAATTATTTTCGATCTATTCAACAAAAAAATAAAAAGAAGTGTAGTATATTAAGGTGTTATAAAAAGTATATACCTTTTTATAAAACGAGCTGTCAACATTTCCAATGTATTTGGTTTATTCTTTTTAATTAAAATTTAAAAATCGAGAATTTTTTTGGCATTACTATTTACTTAATTTACTTTGTTTTGCATTTTAAAAAGACTCAATATTAGTTATTCGCTATTATATTAAAATCTGAGCTTTCAGACTTTCGGTCTTGAGATTTCACCTTGGCCTCTGATAGAATGGTTGTGAAAAACTTGCTCTTTTGACAAGTATTATTATTTAGTTGCAAAACAAATGTTTCTCCAATAATTATACCGGCAGAGGGAAATGTGAGATCATTTGAATTCTTTAACTATTGATGTTGGTTAATGCGAAAGTCGATGGGATAGGATCACAGAACAGAACACTTTCCACCTTAGAGATACATTTTAAAAACCGAGTACATATTTATTTACGGATTTCTTTATCATTAATTAAACAAAACCCATATTTTGATTATTGTTAGACAAAATGATCAAGAACGCTTGTTTTACAAAATAATATATATGTCCTCATTGATTAAACATTTACGAACTTCTAATTCGATTTCCTCATAAAAAGTCAGTAAATCCAATAACCCAAATATAATTTTTTTTATCTTTTTAAAATATTTACACGATTAACAGGACCTGTCCTGTGTAATCTAAAGTTTTCTACCCGATCGAAGTAAATTGAGTTCTTTTTATATTTTTTAATTTAATTATTTGGCGAAGGAAATAATATTCCTTGAGGATATTTAAAAAAAATCTATTTAATTTCTGTTACAGTATTCGTATTATTTGTTTGCCTAATTAATAAGTTTTACCTTTAATATAATAATATCGAAATCAGCCGCAGTAGTAACGCACCGACCTTGGCTAAAACCGATAAAATGATACACTACCGTAAATTCAAAATTGGTATGTCACAACTTTTTAATTTGCTTGACTCAAAAAGAGAATGCATAATGATTTCAACAAAACCATTTTCATACTTATTTCAAGTGTAGGTATTAAAAGAAAATTCAGTTCCATTATATGAAGCTGATACATTAGTGAAAAGTGCACAGCGCAATATGTCAAAATCATTATGCCGAAGAGAGTAGTACACAAGCCCTTGATAATTTTAATCTACTAAAAAGCATGCAAAACCAGTACCGATTTTAATAAGTACTTATAATATGCGTTCATAAATAGCTGGTACTCTCCATTATCAAAGGACTGTGCACTGCTGATCTGCATATATAATATGTATAAATGTATTTATTATTTATTTATTTTTTTTAACTTCAAATAAATAAAGTCTTTTGTTCTGTAGGTTGACTTAAGGCACATGGACGAGCAACAAGGTAGCAATATTGTAGACGTTGGTGTAGACTTATCGGAGTTTTACATGTCTGTGGAATGGGACATTCTGGAGGTCCCAGCTGTACGGTAAGTTATAAGACATCCTAATCATAAGTATGTGTGTACTATTTGTGTAATCCAACATTTTGATAAAACAAAATAAACACGGTCTTAAAGTTGATAAGGTCCTAGGCATTAACAATAATTTCTGCTATTTACTTACCTTTTTTATTTATTATTAATTTTTTTTTTTATTTAAAATGGCTTCTAAAATGAATTTATCTTTACCTCTTAGGGTTAAATCTTTTTTTTTTTATTTCAGGTAATTTTGTATAATTTTAAAACTTTATAATTTAAATTTGAAAGTATGAATAAATTTAAAAAACATGTCTATATCGTTCCTCTCACTCTATATATAAAACTGGCTGATTGGTGATCAACGCACAGCCCAACCCGTAAGAGCTAGGAAATTTCCACTGTAGTTCCTTATGGGATGAAGGTGAACGTTAATAGCCTCTGTCCACTGGTTAAAGAAATGTCACATTTTCAAATTTCACATACTGGTGTTCCACCGGTTGTCGGTAACATGTGAGTGGCAAGAGTACCGCTTTTTTAACTAAACAGCTCAGTTTCTTCAATTTACATAAGCGCCGTAAAGTTTTCTTAAAAAAATCAAAAACTGCGCTCTCGAGGTAAGGGCTTATTTTACCCTGAATCCAACACAAATGAGTATAAGGCTATATTGTATTTGTGTAAAATCCAAGTGTATGCAACAGGCAGAAGGAAGCATCTCCAACCCCATAAGGTATATATATTCGTGATCAGCACCAATAGCCAGGTCGATCTAGCCATGTCCGTCTGTCTGTCTGTCCGCCGTATGAACGCAAGGATCTCAGAAGCTGTAAGAGCTAGGGACTTGAAATTTTAGATGTAGGTGCTTCTAGTGCCTGCGTAGATCGAGTTTATTTCCGATAATCGATAACTTATTCCGTTCCCAAGCAATTGATAAAAATCGATATCGACATGGTTTTTGAGCAAATTTGGTAAATAATAAGAGCTAGAGTCACCCAAAGTATAAATATAGCTTCTAAAGTAGAAAATATATATGCATTTGATGTTGGAAGAAGAGGGTTCAGGGTATCCCCTAATAAGAACTCAAATGCTTGTGAAAATCATTGAATGGCCGTCCCTACATATACATAAACTAATCTAGAAGCAACATGTCAAGTTTGATTCAAGCTCTTATTATTTAGCGAAACTGTTTAAAAAACAAGATTTTGACATCGAATTTTATCGATTACTTTTAAATTACTTTATCTAGTATCGTACTGCGCTGCCACTGGAAGGACCTACATACCAAATTGCAAGTCGTTAGGTCTTATAGATTCTAAGATCCTTGCGTTTATACATACGAACGGACGGACGGACAGCCAGATTGACACGGCTATTCATGGTGATCAAAATTTTAAAGATTTTATGGAGTCGGAGATGCTTCCTTTTATCCATTTTCAATGGCTTCATGGTCTAAAAAGAACAAGAACAGAAATAAGTATCATATAACAAACCTTAAATTTTCAACACATAACTAATTTTTTTGTTTCTTTTTAGTTTTTTCCCCCATTTTCAATACATTGAATATGAAACACGTAAAAGGTTCTATTCGGGAGCTCCCGACTAGGGAATATCCTGAACCCTCTTATTCCGACACCAAATTCAGTTCGCGCTACACGCTTTCAATCTCGCAACTGACTACGTTACTTGCTGCCGACTCTACTCAGCAGTCACTCCAGCAAAAAACAAGTAAGAAGTTCTAGTCGGGAGTACCTGATTAAAGAACACCCTGAACCCTCTTATTCCAATATCCAATAATAAAGTATTATTGAGAAAAAACGAATTAAAATAGCAGCACAGAAAAAATCTCAATTGCAATGCTCTTGGTATATGTAATTCGATGCAGACGCGCATTGTACACACAATGTGTGTATATGTATAAAGAAATTATTGGATTTTGACCCCATCCAAATGCGCAGTAAAACATAACTTTGTGTTTTTCTTAAATATCTGAACGAAATTTTCTACAGTTTATACCCTAGAATATTTGTGTATACTTAAAAAATCAATTGCATTAAAATTGTAGCTTTAATTGATGGGCTACACGGAGAGGTGGGGAAAGGTATAAAATGAAAACTTTAAATATATAATATTATAGAAGCAACATATCATGTTTGGTGACTCTAGCCTATATTAATTACCCAATTTTCTCAAAAAACAGATTGTAAATATCAATTTAATCGATGCTTTTAAAAGGAGTAAGTTATCGATGATCGGAAAGAAACTCAATCTGCGCAAGCACTAGGAGGATCTACAGCTAAGATTTCTCTAGCTCTTATACTATGTATTTGTAATGTATGAGTACCCTTTTTTCCGGGCTTAAAAATACTGATACTCAAAATCTGTTTTCCCATTTCTTTCAATCGCAAAATAAAGTAAGGCGTAGGGCTATGTAGGCAAAACAGCTGAAGGGACCTCGCAACTGATAAGAACAGCATCTTACTTATATTACTTTCTCTACGAAGAAACCGCTTAACTGCTTTTGCGTCGTGCATTTGATAAATATCGACCCAGTGCATTACTCAAAATTACAGTTAGTCAACTGTCGCTTCGCTGTAATCAGAACGTACCAACTCGGGTTCGCTTGCCTTTGTAACTCTTTGTAAACTCTTAAACTTAAATAATATACCAATTCGTTTCTGCCTGCTTCTCTTAATATACTACAAATATACAATCCAATTGAAATAAGGAATAGAATCATATTAATGTTTTCTAGTATGAAAGCTATTGAAGAAACTTGATCGCGCAACATTTTGGTAACTTCTACATGATTTTTAACTTGAAACTTGATCGCGCAACATTTTGGTGACCTCTACATGATTTTCTATTTTGTTGCTTTATTATTGCTTTACATTCACCATTGTTGAGTACTCAGCTGGTTTTGCTTTTAATTGAAGAATGTTTGCAAACTTTTTGAAATGCCCTAACTGGTTCGACATTTAGTGCAATTGATGATTGTGGTCTTAGTGTTAAGCTGAAGCAAATCAGCGACTTAAGGCCCCATTTGAAAATTCTCATACCAGTCTGAAAGAAGTAGACTTTGATGAAATTGGAAGCCAATTGCGTGAAGACTTAGACGAGTTAGCAGTTTCTATAAAAATTTCAGTTCAGAACAAAATCGATTAACGCGCTTTTATTTGGCCCTCCTTAAAATTTAGCGATCAAACTGTGCTGCCCAAGCAGACAATTATGGTTATCGTAAGCATTACCCTCAGTGGTGAGTTGCATATGTTTTTAGCAACTGTTTTTAAAACTGTTGCCAAGAACTAAAGTCAATTTTGACTTTTCACAACAATACGTTACTATTTCGTTTTATTTATCGAACTTACATCAGTTACAAGGTTATTTGCCTGTGGCTCCGAAAAAATTTTTCGCTTCGCCTTGATCAACAATGAAAAAGTGTGTAATAGAAAGAGAGAATATGCAACTTACAGCGGCTGCGACAAGTGCAAATGAGGCCACACTGGCCTTGCAAAATCCATGTATTTAAACATCAACTCAATCGGAAAGTACCATTCCATACCATGCGAAAACTGCTATGGAGCTCCCTCCAGGTCCTATCACGTGCAATCGGCAAGCTTTTATCCCAAGATAATGTTTGTCCTTACAAAGCTGTTCCTTATGACTGGTCCCAAGGGTTCAGGCAGATAATAAAACCGGGCAACAATACGCAGAACAAAGCGCCTGCCGGGTTTGACAGTAGAATTTAGAACAGAAAATGAAAATAGCAACGGATCGACCGCTGGACCCCATACAAAACCGAGACCCTTGGCGACATCGTTTCAATTTAACTTCAAGCATGGTTCTCTATTTTCATAAGCTATTCCATTAAGGACTTATTTGTGACTGGAACACCACTTTCAAAGCTTGAAGTTTCCACGGGACAATATCTCTGCCGTCTGACGAATTTTTTCTCTGGCTTTGGCAACTAAGATTGTTCCAGATATGAAATCGTCAACGTAAAACTCCTTCTTTTTGGCAACCGATCCAATTAAAAAGGCATTACGCTCATCAAAGGACAACTGGTGCATTGCGCGCATGCACTGTAATGATGCTGATTTAGTCTCGTATATATATCCAGCTTAAAGATTTCGATGTCCGCTTGAGGCCAGTGCCTTCACAGGATGCACTGGAAGTAACTATCAGGCAAAGTCACTTGGATACAGCAATATTTATTTTAATTATCAGCTGTCAGTGCAATATCCTGTGCGGAAGTGAATCAGAATGTGAAATAACATTGAATGATTGGTCCCACCATCAATACATCATTAACAGAATGTCCAGAATCAGTCGTTGGTGCTGTCTTCCTTCAAGACGTGGGAGGAGTATTTACATCAGCCACTCAACTCTGGACTAACTCGCGACATATGACTCAGATCCAGAAATTATTTGATGAATGCCGGGTTGACGATAAGCCTAGATTTTAGACTCTCCGAGCAGCTCTGCACTCTGCTACAAAGGCATTACCACTAAATACTCGCTGGGCCTTTACCACAAGCTCTTCCAAGCTCTCAACTACCCAGGCTTGAGAGCTTGGAAGAGCTTGTGGTAAAGGCCCAGCGAGTATTTAGTGGTAATGCCTTTGTAGCAGAGTGCAGAGCTGCTCGGAGAGTCTAAAATCTAGGCTTATCGTCAACCCGGCAAGGCCAAGTGACCACCATCGCTATCTGAAGTGATGACCAAAAACGAGGTACTGAGCAGTCTCACAAGAAGAGGTAATCCTGGCAAAATCACAATTTGCCCAACAGACAAAAGCTCGTAGAAGAGGCTCGCTCCAATCAGAAGATCGACCCGCTGTGGTTTGTTGAACGCAAGATCAGCCAACCGTATGTTCAAGAGGATTTTCCAATCCTAAGTATGGATGCTGAAGCTTGGCTGACTGTCGGTGATTGTTGGAGCCACAAGAGCTACATGTGTAGATCCCATGACCAGATGCAACACAAAAACTGCACCCGTTTTGGTTATTCTTGGCATTT